TGATCCCATCCTACTTAGTGTGATCTCATCTCCACTAAACACAGCTACAATGACTATTTCTGAATAGGAACACAGTTTTTAGTATGTAAACCAAGAAATTACATAAGTGAGATTAAAATAAAAGCAAAGAGGGTTTTTAGCTAAGTACCAGGTAGGTTTACAAATCAGGAGAGAGAGATTCATTTTTCCCCAAGTGAGTATTTCATCAAGGAAAGGGGATGGATCTTTTTATGATAAAACGAAGGCAAAACAATGGGGTGATGTAAAGTAACTCCTGCTGAGCAATTTCCAATGGCTGTGTTAGTTACACAAGTTATTTTGAACAAATTTTGATTGGCGCTGAGGGTCTGTTCATACATCAAGCTATACATAATTGGTTGCTAGGGAAGATCAGAGAGGTTACCAGAAAGCAGTAAGTCTTTTGGAACAGTCCATAAATCATCAGCATTCCATGGTTGGAAACTTGCCATCCATAGTCCCATAAGCTCATTTTTCCCAGACAGTATTTTTCATGTGGATGTGAAAGATGAAGGACTTGCTTCTGTGAGGCAGACTACAGGCTGTCAAATATGATCTCTGAAGTTCCCAGAGAAAAGTTGCTCCATCTAGGCACCAGTGCAACCATCTTAGTTTTTAATTCCACAAGACCTCAATCTTGCAGGACGACACAGTTCAACCCATAATAATGGTAAATAAAATAATCCTTAGTGGTAGAGAAAATAATAATGCAGTGCAGCCAATGGCACTGCCAACGAATCAAAAACAAAACCAAAGTTCAGACAAGAGCAGAGGCATTTATTCAGGGTCTCTAAAGGAAATGCAATCCAGAGACAACAGGGTCCCAGAGCAACTGTCCTGTGTGTGCCCAGAGAGAGGGAGGAGTAGGGCAGAGTTGCTGAGGGCAAAACCCACCACTGTGCAAGTCGTTTTGCACAGATTAAGACTGGCAGAGCAAATAATCAGTTTATGGGTCCGAAAGTCCACTACCTCCTGCTCTTCAGCAAAAAGAACAAGCGAGGGCCCCAGATACCATGGGTCTTGTGGTTTGGTCCTGTGATTTGTTATAGAAGTGTACGGGGACCAGTCTTTCTAGGGCTTCCCTACTCTATTTTTGGTGGCCCCGAAGTAAACTGCATCCATTTGATGACCTCACTTCCCAAACACCAGTGATTAATAAACCTGTATTTTCAGAAACACGGTATTTTGGGGCTCTATGTTTGTTTTCTTGCTCACAATTCAAGAAAAGATGTTCCCCACTCCTTTGCAGGCAGAGTCCCTGCCTTGCTCTCTTTCTCCTGCGGCCTCCTTCCCAGCACCTTCAATGCTAATTAACACCTGCTTCATTATCAGAGCAGCAGGGAAGCGATCACAACGGAGTCCTTAGAAAGTGATATCCCTGGTTCATCTGCCCCAGATACCAGAGGACTGACTGTGCTGCCTTCCCTTAGGGAGAAGCAGTGGCTGAGTGGAAAGTTCACAGCATTTAGAATTGCTCCACCTGAGTGACCCTGTCGTATTTTTTAACTGTTGGAGAATGGTCTGTGGGCCTCTATTTCCTCAACTGAAATGACACCCACAACAGTTTTGCTGGGAATGTTAAATGTAGTGAAAGGGCCTTGTTAACTGTCAAGGACGCCCTCTCCCTAGCACATTGTAGGCACACAAAAACACATGCTGACTTGGGCATTCTCCACTGAAGAGAAAAACTAGATGAGCTGAGGGGTACACAGAGTGAATGTAAGGTTTAAACACTGAACCGGATATATAGACTACTCATCTTTTCATTTTCAGTAAATCAATACCCAGTAACAAGCACTCCTACTTTCCTGTATCTCTTGTTTGTTTATGTCAGTGGTCCGTTTTGGCAAAGGATTGTAAACTTAACTATCAAGTTAAATGTGTATCATTTTTTGAGAAGAAGAACAAGCTATGACTACCTTGTACGCATCTCATGGTTGTTGTGTCTAAATGATAACATCAAGAGTTGCATGTAAAAGGTAAAATTCAAAGGAAAAACAGAGGTTAATTCAGGTGGATTTTTAGTTATAGAGTGAGGACTGTAGTTTATACTCTAGGAATTATTTCCCTAATATTAACGATTTAATCACACATAGAATTGTAACAATGAAATCTTCCCCAAAGGTCTTTAAAAATAGTTTATAACCTCATCTCTCCAGTCATGGCAATGTCAATTATATGAAAAAGCAATCTATTTTTTTTATTTTATTTTGAAAAAGCAATCTAAATGATCAATACAAAGGAAAGAGTTGTGAAGTACATTACATGATTCTATGGGTGTGTACAAATTAAAATATGATGACTATGTAACAGCATATTAAAATTCTTTTAGTAAGATACTCAGTAAAGAAAGAATATACAATTTGATCTATAATGCACTAACTAATTATGTAAAAATGAAGTATGAATAAAAATTAGGACTGAATGAGAACACAGAAAAATAAAAGCAATTGATAGGGTTACACAGTGACACAGTAGCGGAAAAAAAAGGCTTTTCAGTTGTTTATGTGTGACAAATGAAAGATATATTTTTAAAAGCATTCATCTCTCTTGAAGTGTGACTGTGATCCTCATTAAAGGCAGGAAGATAAAATAGATGCAGAAATCCTTCTCCAGTCTTGGGACCTTAGGTTCCCAAGTTGCAAAGAGGATGATACCCGGAGACCACAGCATTCCAAAGCATCACTGGTTTCCATTAAAACCTCATTTATGGAATTAAAAATTAATTTTATGGAAATAAATTTAAGCAGTCTTTTCATCAGCATGCACTTGATCTAATTAAGCTTGGAGTGATTGTCACAGCCATTTCTGCACTGTTATTTAAGAAGATGAAATCTGTTGTGAGTTTTGTTCTTATTCTGCTGGGAAACAACACTGAGATGAGTGTTTAAGCTTCTGCGTGGTAGTTGCTCTTGCTTCCAAAGATCCTGGATAAGCAAGGTGCATCCTCTGGGAAGTTATTCATGACACTGAGTCAAATTTAATGCAAAGCCCTCAACAAAGCCAGCCCAGGCATCTCCTTTGTGAGTGGAGCAAACAAAAGACCCACTGGATTTCCAAAGCTGGGAAGGTGCAGGGGTTGAATCCAAGCTCTACCTCCCCCAAGCAGTAACAACCCTTGTTTAAATTCTAGCTTTCATAGTAAAAGAAGATTTCAAGAGAAATGTGCTATGCCTCTCTTTCCAGGTTAAGAACTATGCATTATCATGGACATCTTAGATGTTCTACATTAAGGAACACACATGCATATGTACATATATTCTGTAGCAACTATGAGAATGAATACATGGAGCAGACCTCTGACTTCAGGGGACATATGACATGCCTGCCCAGGGGCTCCAGCTATGCCCCCTGAAATCTATCACCATATGATAAAGCCATACCATCCCACAGCACTCTGGGCCAGCGACTGAACCAGGCAGGGATACTGAAGCAGCCCCAGCTGGGTCCTCAGAAGTCTTCCTGATGCTTCCTTGGACCCCAGGGCACTCCAGGACGGCTTTACCCAGCTCTGATCACTTGCTCCTTGACTTGGAGTCAGATTCATGGCAGTTTCTCAGGTTTTTTCTTTCCTAATAATATTCTTCCCCACTACATCTGGTTCTTAGAGAGTGTGTGCATACATGTATATAAATACATGCAACAAGACAATAGTCAGGCTTGCTTTGTCTCTCCCCGCCATCTTCCATTTCCTCCCTACCCTGGGAAAATTAAAAAAACTGAACTTTAACACCCTGGTGCCTATATCTGCATATTCTGTCCATTCACCTGGGCTGAAGAGAGGAGTAGGTGGCGAGTAGCCACCAGCTTAATGAAGATAGAACTCTAGTGGAAAAGGTTCAACTTTTCAAGCTCTATTTTGCCCTGACCTGACTTCCTGAGGTCCAGGCAGTCTCCAGTGTTTACAGCAAACAGCACCCAGAATTCCACTCCGAAGAACACAGAACCAGGTGGAATCAAGGAAACATCCCCCAAACACAGAGGAGAATTGGGAAGAATAAAAATGAATGTTGAACCACAAACACAGTAATAATCATAATAAATATCCAGCACGCACCCAGTCATTGAGTTTCTAGACATTCAGATTGGCCCCTGCTACTGGGGGATAAAGTAGTGAATGTCCAAGTGAATGCAAGTCTCCTGGTTCGGACAAAGCCCACCACGGCCAGGAGACAGTTTGAGCTAACTCAGCTTCCTGAGTTTCATTTCCATCCATGACCTTAGAGTTCAGTCTTAAGTGTCCAGAAATGAAATGTTATCAGTGCAGGGCCAGAAGCACCATCCACCCACTTCCTTTCAAAGGTCTCTCACTCACATTCTAGAGCTTTGCTATGGGACTTGCAGCCTTCCCAGTAGGTGTGGTTTTATGCTGGTGGTGGTTTTGGTTTGGGTTTGGGTTTGGGTTTGGGTTTGGGTTTGGGTTTGGGTTTGGGTTTGGGTTTGGGTTTTCATGTGGGGTTTGGTTTTGGTGTGGGGTTTGGTTTGGTTTGGTTTGGTTTGGTTTGGTTTGGTTTGGTTTGGTTTGGTTCGGTCCAGTTCAGCTCAGTTTGGTTTCGCTGATTCACAAATGTAATAACACAGGGCTGTCAACAAATGTGAGGGTTTGGAGAAGCCCTCTAGAAATTTTCACTCTCTCCCTCCCTGAATCCACATCAATCCCCTTTCTTTCATGGAAATGTTCCATTCTTTTATTTCACCTACTGACCCCCACCACTTTATCCTCCAGGGGAACATTTTTCTCCACTTTATTCTTATTTTAAGAAAACTTACTTTGAGCCATTAGTGTGTCTGGATTGTTTGGTACAAGCACAAGTAGTTGTGCTTGGAAAATAATCATGAAATGAGAGTCTGCAAGAGATGAACTTGCTTGTACTGAGAAAAAGATGCATTATTTACAAATGAAATCTGACTTTGCGAGAATGAGCTCCAGAAGAGGAATGTTCAAGTGGTTACTTGATAATTTACCAGCCTTGTCATTCCAGGTAAAGATGGCCTTGCAACAGGAAGGATTTGACCGAAAGAAGAGAGGATACAGAGACATCAGTGAGATTGACATCAATATAAGCGATCCTCTTTTTACAAAGCAATGGTACCTGGTAAGCATCGGATATTTGTAACATCTCTCATGCCACAGGCCCACATAAAAGATGTATTTCTGTTTCTTCCTTAGTCTGTGAAATGTTAGCCACCATCTGACTCCACGTACCTTTCTGTGCCAACCGATATACATGGATTTTCTTCACCTCCTCCCCTAATCTGCTTTCTTCTGGAATTGCCAAGTAGCCATGACCTCCTAGAGTTAAAGCTACTACCAATGGCAGGTCACATTCTACTAAACTCTAAAAAAGCTTACCTGTATGTGAGTGAAGACTTGAAAAAAACACATAAAATCTAATAAAGGTCTGGGAGGACTGATCCTGGATTCTTAGCATGTAATCGGAGGACAGTAACATCACAGGCCCAAGAGAAAGAATCCAGTGGCTGCACAAGGGTCAAGCAAGAGAGCTCAAAGTCTAGAGTAGCAAGGGGAGCATCTCTATCATGCAGTGACAAGAAATCAATTCCCTGAGGCTGAATCGCTGTAGGATTCCAGGCTCTGACACCCAGTCTGTCTGGTGACAACCACATTTTCTGGCTTTCCAGAAGTCCCTTATGATCCTTGTGGACTGTTTGAATTTTGTTTAAAAGAAGACCAAGGAGTCCCAGCCAACCTGAACTGCAGGGAATACTGTGCACGACAGTGACTAACTTATACATGAGAATGAAGCTTTATTTTATTTGAGATTAAAAGCTGATAACCCAAAGAGAAAACTAAGTCACAGCCCTGTGGACTGCTAGGGATGTATTGCAGTTTCCCTCCTGGAGCTTCAAAGCTCAACTATACCTCATGCTTTCCTGACATGGAATTCTCAAAATCCAGTGTGGGTAACCGAATGAGCTTATGTTTATTAGTCAGGATTGGCTAGGTTTGCTGCAGTAACACACAGTCTCCAAATCATAGTGATTTGCCACATGATTAATGTTTCCTAATTCTTCAGGGACTCAAGCTGACCAAACTCCATCTCAGATGCTTTTGTAAGCACCTTAGCAAGGAAAAGTGACAGACTGGACTGTGGCTCTTAAAGCTTCTGTGTGAATGCCACAAATGACTCATGAGCTTCCCTGCCATTGGTCAAAACTATTCACACTTCCATTCTTACTTCAAAAGAGATGGAGAGGGATAGCTGAAACCCGAGTCTGGAAAACAAAGAGCAATAATTTTTGTGAAAAGCACAAATGACATTCACACAATAGCCACTGACTATGGTGTGGTTTAAAGCTTTGACTTTACTATTTCTTTTACAAACTATCTTTGAGAAAATCTGCACAAAAAAAAAATACATGCAAAGAGGGGAATAAACATAATAATATGATTTTTTTTTGTCTTCCCTCCTCTTTCTCAAGGGGGCTAGGAGCTTAATTTTTCAGCTTTAAAACTTGTATGAAAGGCAGAGTGGGCCACCTATCTTTTTAATTCAGTTCAACAAACATTTTTGAGCAATACTTACTATGTTGGTACTAAAAGTGCTTCCTCTTGGAAAGGATATCATTAATACTGAAATTATATTTAATAAGGATAACCCAAGACAATACATTCTAAATCCAAAACATGAGGTATAAACAAAGAGGTCTGAGAGTAAACTTTTTATTCTCAATCAAGGAGGGCTCTCAGCAATGGTAGCTCCAGGATTTTATATGGAATGAGCTTAAACATAACCATCTAGTTACAGAAATGAGGGGATAGCAGCAGCTTTTGCATACTTACATAAAACATAAAGCATCAATAGTTTATGTGAAAAATAAAGAGGGAACGCTGTGAGGATGTGAGAAGGGCACCCCAAAGTTCTGTTTCATGGAGATTTGGCCTTTCATCAGCCCTGGGACAACAGGTAGCTGCTAAACACATCAAAACAAATATCTATACACATGCTTTGCTCCACCAAACCAATCAGATTCTCTGCTTTGGCATTTCTCTACCAGATCAACACCGGGCAGGCTGATGGCACACCTGGCCTTGACTTGAATGTGGCAGAGGCCTGGGAGCTGGGATACACTGGGAAAGGGGTGACCATTGGGATCATGGATGATGGTGAGTATTTCAAGATCTTTGCATCATTCAGAAGCAAGTGTGTCTTTGCACGCCTTCAGATTAAGGTAGAGTCATTGTTTCAGAGATGCTCATTGGAGACATGATTAGCATCTCTGATTCTAGGCCTGGTGATCTCACTGCATTGTGACCAAATGCTCCCCTTCTTCTGGATCAGTGGCGGCTAAACTCGGCAATGACCTTAACAAATATTTTTAGACATATGACAATTGCCTGTCAGTCAACCATAATTTCATATTGGGCCACAAGTTATACTTTACCTAAAGACGTTTTCTAAATCTATTGATATTTACCATCTATTTATGTAGAATCACACTGTGATGCAGTAGCCAGTGGCTTAAATTTTAATGAATTAAAGCTAAAGAAAATTAAAAATTCAATTCTTGAATCACATAGCTTCATTTCAAATTGTTTGGTTTTCTTTTTTGTGGTGTTAGGGATCAAACCCAGGGCCTTGCTCATGCTAGGCAAGCACTTTACCATGCAGCTACAACCCTGGGCTATCACTTCAGCTTCTTGGTGGTCACATGAGCTATTTCAACTGCTGAAATTCAGACCAGTTCCATTTCAATCATCATAGAAAGTTCTGTCAAACAGTGTGGCTCTAGATCCATGAAATAGCTTTTGAGTAACAGGGTCAGGGTTTGGGGATATTTGACTTTAATGCTACTTTTAGAATGATCCTTGTAAAGCAGTCTTTAGTAACCTTTTGTTATAGATGCTGCCTCTTTATTATTCTATCCTGTGTGCCTGCTAGAGATTTAACAGAGCTTTATTTTCTATAGTTTTAAGGCTTGAGTTTCTATGGAATGACTTTGATGAATTAGTTTTTTCCATCTGCACATGTCCTTGCCTCTAGCTAGATCCTGTAGAGTCACCAGCCTGTAGTCATTTCATGGGGCTGAGCTTCTGCCCCTCCTCAGTCCCCGACCCCCAGGTAAAAACTCCACTGTGCATTATGGATCTAATTATATGCAAAGGCTGTGTGGAGATGAAACAATGGAGCCTGTTCTTCCTGAAGATCCTCAAAGCCACTGTGTTGTCCAAAGCAGGCCTTTGAAGCTGTGCTGACAGAGGGAACAGGGGAGCCAGCATGCTTAAAATCTGTGCTACCTTTGCTTGGGGTCATTGAAGAGCAATACGCAAACAAGGCCTCAGTGTGTCTCTGACCCATGCGATGTTTTGAAGTGGATGCAAAAGTTTCCTCCTGTGGCTGAGGGCTTGCAAAAAGCAAAGGAGCTCTGCACAAAATTGTGCATGGACAGATGTCTGCAGTCTGGGAGTGTTTTTCCTTCCTAACACTTTGGCTGGGAAACTTTTCTTAAGCTGCTGAGGCCAGCTCACCCAAGAAAAAGATGCGCCTAGATTTGATGCTCTGCACCAGCCATCAGAGTCACCCTAAGTGACACCTACAGTGACAACATATGCACATAGCTCTTATGAAGCCTCCAGCAGCACTGTAAGTGTCCGTTTCCACGTTCTTAGCTGTATCCCTTCCCTGACAGTTCAGAAGATCGCTCCTGATTCTGTTCCACACTAATAGACCAAACCCTTTAGAAAGTCCCAGAAGAATTTCTTGTTTGATATTTCTTCTGCAAATTCATGGCCTTTGGGATCCCCAAAAGATGAACCCTCTGCCCACCCCTCAATTAAAACTCCTGACATCACCATTGTTTTAGTGATTTACTGCTGCGAAATCAACCACTCCAAAACTGAATGGATTTTTTAAAAGAGCAACGATGTTATGATCTCATTGTTCTGTGGAATGATAGGGTTCTGCTGCTGTCTCCTCGAGGTCTTTCAGGCACTTGGAGTCAGAGACAGCTGAGGCTGGAACCCACTGGAGAGTCAGCCTCTCTTGTTCTCCACGGAACCCTGGGACTTCAGACTGGCTGGATTTCAGACAGGGGGCTCAGGACTCCCAAGAGCAGGTGTTCCTAGAGAAAACAGGGAGCTCCAGTCCTCACCAAGGCTAGATCTGCAGGGGCAGTCATCCCTTACATTTCTGCTGGATGATGGTTCCAGAGTTATCAGTCCAGACTCTAGGAGAAGCAAACTAGATCATGCCTCATGGTATAGAGAGGGACCGGACACCAAGATGGCACACTGCATAGCTAGTGGCTGACGCAGTTGCCAGGGTGCCACACAGGGAGTGTCAGAATGAAGACTACATTGTAATTTCCTCTCATGTGGCCTTGAGGCTTCTCTCAAAAGAGTGACTATAAATTCTAGTTTGCGTTGACAGGACTCCAGGGGAAGGGGCTCTCCATGTTTACAATGCCCCTGTCTCAGTGCATCCCTACTATGTTACAAAACACCTTAGACTGAGTAATTTTTAAATCACAGACATTTACTTCCCCCAGCTGAAAGCTGGCAAGTCCCAAACCGAGGGACCAGCAGACGCAGTGTCTGGTGAGAGCCCCTTCTCTGCTTCCACAGTGGTTCCTCATCTTCAGCTCCTCTGGAGAGGATGAGCACTGTGCGTGCTCATGTGACATAGCGCCAGAACAGGAATGAAATTGCCCCTTCTCAGTCTTTTATGGGGGTGCTAATCCCATTTGTGAGGGATTGCCCCTCAAGACTGAGTCACCCTCTAAAAATCTTTAATTTCCAAACACTCTTGCCCTAGAGATTAAGTTTCATCATGAATTTTGGGAGGATGCAGACCCTCAGAACATGGCCTCCCACCCTTGGTCCCCCAAATTCATGTCCTTCTTAAACAACCCTAGAACTTTCACTTGCTCCAGCACCACCAATCAAAAGTCTCAAGCCCCGACTCTCATGTAAATACCATCTAAATCAGATACAGGTAAAGCCCCAGGTACAATTCATCCCAAGGCCAATTGCTCTCGGGCTGTGATCCTGCAAAATCAAACAAGTTCCAATACAGTGGTGAGACTGGAACAAGACAGACATTCCCATTCCAAAAGGAAGACAGAAAAGAGAAGAAAAAAGTGGGTAATGCATCCCAACTAAGTCCAAATCCAAAAGAGCAAACAAGAAATCTTCAGGTTTGAGGACAGTCGTTTACTCCTTCCCACCTCCTGGACCCACTGAAATGGGGTCCATATGATCCCCTAAGGCTCCCTATGACCCTGCCCTATGGCTTCATTGGGCTCAGCCCATGCAGCTGCTCCTGTGGTTTGGAGTCCTGTGTCTGTACTTCTCCCAGGGCCAGGACAGAGTCACATATTGGCCTCTCTATGTTTCTGGGGTCTGGAGAGCACTCTGCCTTCCAGCTCTGCTGGTCATGGCCTTCAGAGACTCTCTACCATAACCACATCCCTGTGGTTGTCTGCATGGGCCTTGAGGCTCTCCAACAACCAATTCCAACAATTATAAAGGCATCCTTTCTAATCTAGGTAAGGGCATCTCTGCTTCTGCACCCTGCAGAGTTAGCACTACATAGATGCCACCACGGTGGCATACAGCTGCCAAACCTTCTGGGGAGAGCCTGAGCCAAACTTGGCCTGTTTGAGCCACATCTTGGCAGCCAAGGAGCAGGGTCCCCAAATGCTTCAGGCAGAAACTTGAGGCTGCCCTGAGCAGTGAACCTTGAGATCACACAGGTGCCTGAGCCCCTCTTTTGAAGTCGTTCTGACTTCAAGGCCTGGGCCCTCTGTGCCCATGCTGGGTAGGGCAGCCAGGAAGATCTCAGAAACAGCTCCAAGCTCATCCATCTCAGGTCCTGATGGATGTTGTCACGCGTCTTTGCATCCACACCCGTTTCCCTGTTGAGCACCCACTTGGCCACACCCCTGATATCCTCTCCTGAACACACGTTCTCATTCCTCACAACTGGGCCGGGCTGAGGCCTCTCCAGTTCCACAAGTTCTATTTCCCTTTGAATCATAAATTCCACATTTTACTATACACAGTCAGGAGAACCTGGGCTACACCCTTGACACTTTGGTTGGAGAGTTCTGCCACACATCCTAGCTCATCACACTCAAGTTCTGCCTTCTATAAACCACTAGGACAAGGATTTAGTTCAGCCAGGCCTTTGCCCTTGTGTAGCAAGAACACCATTCCTCCAGTTCCCAGTACCTGATTCCTCATTTCTGTCTGAGACTCGCCAGAATTGCCTTTATTATCCATTTTCTAACATTCTCATTACAGCACCTAGAGAGTATAAAAAGATCTGGGATCTCTGTGTAGTTCCTTCCCTCTGGATCCTCACCAGCCTCACTTTTCCTGTTCCCTTTACGGCAAAGTTGGTTGTGTGTAACTTTCACCTTCAAACTCTTCCAGTCTCCGCCCATCACCTACCTCCAAAGCTGCTTCCATATTTGTGGGTATTGTGTGCTGTAACAGCAACATCACACCTCCTGGTACCAATTTCTGTCTCAGTCCATTCCTGTCACTATAACAAAATGCCTTAGACTGGGTAATTTATAAAGGACCTAAATTTATTTCTACAGTTCTAGAAGCTGGAAAATATAAGATTAAGGTGCCAGCTGGCTTGGTGTCCAGTGGAGGCCTTGTTCTTTAGAGACAACACCTCCTTGTTGTGTCCTCACATGGCTGAAAGACACAAAGGCAAAAAGGATGAAGGCACTTCCTTTGGCCTTTTTTATAGGAGCATTAATTACACCCCTGAGCACCCCCTCAAGACCTGCTCATCTAATGGTCCTGCCTCAATACTATTACACTGAGAATTAAGTTTCAAAATGAATTATGGATGGACACAACCTTTGAACCAAAGCAGTATCTTTCACAAGATCCTTCCGTGTATCTAGTGAACACCCTAACATATCCAACCTGCGAGCAGGTGACTGTCCTACTAGAAACTTCTTTATACTGGCACATGTCCTGGCTTGTCTGACTTGTACTTTGTTTATTTCCACCAAGATAGCCACTCTCTGGGAAAACCTTGATTGAGAAAGGAGAAAGAAGTTAAGTCTGGGTGTGTTGGTCAAGGAAGACACAGAAGAAGCAATTCAACAAAAACACATGAAATAATGAGTGCAGTTTATTACACACAGATCCAGAGAAAAGAGACTAACATGGCTCATAGCACCAGATAGAAGGGGACCATTAGCAACATGCATATTCAGCTGGTATATGGGAAGCAAGGGACCCATAGGCCAGGGCCTTTATTCAGGTGTAGAGCAGCACCTAGATGATATCCCACAGGGAGCTTCAGTGGATGGGTTTAGAAGCAAAGAGCTTGAGTTCCACAAAGTCACATGGTGACTAGCAGTGGTCACTGCAGCTTATTTGCTCAATCCTCCCATGGAGGGTATAGCAGCCAGTGGGGTAGGTCAAGTAGATCTCATCCAGCCATCCCATAGGAAGAGGCCACCAGGAGGCAGCTGTATATGGCAGATATCTGGACTGACCAAGCTGAAGAGCTGGAAGGAGACAGAGTTGGAAATTTCAGCAAAAATGACAAAGCTTTGCTCTGGTAGGAGAAAGTTAAATGTATACTCAAAACAGATCCGTTGATAAAATGTTATGAATTCACTGCATTGTGTATGGGCTTCTTACACAGCCATCCACTTTCCCCCAAAGCGAGCATCCAAAGGGGCCAGGTGGAAGACGACTGACCTTTCCTTGCCTAGGCCTGCAAATCATGCAGTGGTGTCCTCTACTTCTACTGACTGACACAATTACAAACCTGCCAAGGTGGAAGAGGAGGCAATGGACCCAGCTGTCTAGGAGAAGTATGGCCATCTCACCCTGTAGAAGACATGGGACGGGCAATTCAGGGCAGCCATCTTTGGACATACAATATGTGCATCAGGCCCATTCATCAAGACATAATTCAGTAGGGTGGAAGCGGACTCAAGTTGCCAATTTTCTTGAAGCAGTAGAAGGAACTGAGCTGGGGCCTACTCCTGAACTGTCACACACCTTAACTGCTGACAATCTAAGTAGAAACACACACAAGAGCTCCTTGTTCATTCTTTGATAGCTTGCCAAACTATCAGAGCTTCCTGAGAATTTGGACTAGTGTAGATTAGACTTTTGAAAAGATTCAAATTGATAGCAGGATATTGATGGTTTATAAGCAAAAATATAACCCAGCATTTGTCATTTTTGTGCCACATTCCTTATGACAAGGCCCTTGTCATGAGTCAGGTGAGCCGAGCCATGGTACTGCAGTGTGATCACAGATAACTGCACCACAAGGGGTTAGTCTAACCTATGTGGCTTTCTATCATCTGCAGTATGCCAAGCATTCTGCAGTATGCCAAGCATTGTTGAAAAATTAATAAAAGCACAGGAAATGAGAGTACAATACTAATATAAGAATTAAAAAATAAAGAAGCTGATTAAGACATGAGTTCAGTAGATTCTACCTTAAAAGAAATCAAATACACCAAAATATTAAAATGTTATTATTTTCATTCTTCGTTATTATTTTTCTGAATCATATCTAGCATCTTTCACAGTTCTAAATATATTTTCTCAGGCCAAAGTCACTATTCGTTGTAACTTAACACTTGGTCTTCCCTTTAACCTAATTAAAGAACCTTTATTCTAATTAAGCTAAATTTATCTTGTTTTAAGACTAATTTTCTTCTGGCCCTAAATTATCTCCTTGCTCCAATATTCTCTTTCCACAGAAAAGAGACTAGTGATTCTCAGAACATTTTTCTCTTAAATTCCACCCTCAGAACAGGAAGTCATGTTTTAAAAATTGACTTCCTGTTAGAAAATGCCTATGTGTAAGTCTTTTTTAAGCTTACCTATATGTTAGAAAAAATGCCCCAACAAAATTAATCACTTTTAACAAATATATAATTCAATTTCAACACATTCTAAAACCAAGTAGATTCTTAAAGCTGTTTTTGTTCCTACATTATCTCATTACTCTACCAGGGTGGGGATGGGAGCACCAACAATGATAAGAGATATAACACGTGAAGGTTTTCCCACAAGCGAAGCACTCAGTGAATTCTCTCTGATTCTGAAAACTGCTGTCCCTGGTGAAAAATGGTCCCGCTTCAAAGCTGAGGAAACCAAGCCTCAGAGTGCCTGTGTTACATGACCAAAACCACACCAGTGTTGACAGTGTCCAGTCCCTGAATGGACCTGGATGAGTTGTTCCACCCACATCCTAAACTGGCCATCTTTGAATTAGAGTCCAAAACAAGAATTGACAACTTTAAAAAACATGAGTTGTTTTTTTAGTGGTACTAAGGACTGAACCCAAGGCCTTCACACTGAGCCACATTACAGCCCTTTCACCTTTTTAAATTTTTTTTATTCTTGAGACTGAGTCTCGCTAAAATACTAAATTTTCTAGGCTGGGCTTGAACTTGTAATCCTGCTGCCTCAGCTTCCCAAGCTGCTGGGATTACAGGCATGCACCACCTGTCAGACTTAAAAACATTAGTCTTTAAAGCTTCTGACCCCTTATCTTCTTCAGGGCTGGGTAGGGGAATGGAAGGAGCAGGTGACCCAGCTGTGGGTGGGAAATGGCTCTCAGATACCGTCATTCTGCTGCTCTCGCTCCAGAACATATTTATATACCAAGAAAGAAACAAAAGAAATTTTCTTCTTCTTAATAATCCCTCCTAAGAGAGGTTCCTTTTTCCAGGGCAAAGCTATAATAGCGGCACAGCCCTAGAGTATACAGCGAAAACACCGGTTATGGGAGGCACTTAATGATACTTCCAGAGCATAAGTATTGTGTCGCAGTACAGTTATTAAGTGCAGCAGCTGCTGGGCTCAGCACATGCATGCATTAGTTTCTTTAACCCCTGCCCTCGTCTCACCTCCAGTAGTTTGAGAAAGAAGCAAGCACTGAGAAGCCAAGCAACCTGCCTGAGGTCCTGCTGCTAGTTATCAGGATAGCTGGGAGTTAAACACTGGTCTCTGACTCCAAATATCTGCTCATAACCATTGCTATGCTAGGCAGCATCAGGGACCTTCACTGCCCCTCCATCTCTCTAAGGGCAGGATGCCCATCTGTGACTGCTGGGAAGATTACACGGTTCTGCAGACCCAGATGAGAGACTTCTAGTGGCCCTTGATGTTCTACAGTGACACCTGATAGGACCCCACAGTGCTCCAGGCCATAATTCTACCCTGGGAATAACCCCCCTGGGCAGTGGGACTGACCCATATTTGAAAGAAAACCCCTGGAGTCCTGCAGAGAGACGCTAAGTCTCAGCTCTCTGGAAAGCCACATTCTGAAGAAAAGTGCATCATACACCGGACTCCTCGCTGGAAACCATTTGCCCTTTGCTAATGGCTCTCCTCGCCCCGCTGCGTCCCTGTTCTTATTTCCGTGCCAGAGCATGCTTGCCTAATGCATTGATGCCCAGCCCTGTTGAGTAATCATCACTCTTCCTCCCCAAGGCCGGCTTCGTTTCCGAAGAAATGCCAGCTGGTGCTTTAGAAATGTCAGCATTTTTACAAATCTCTTTTAGATCACTGCCTTGGTGAGCCGTCCATCTCACAGTCACTAAGCCCCCTTGCGCTGACATTTATGTCAGTGTCATCCTAGGGCCTGAGCTCTAATTGGCTTGGTTCCTCTCAAGTGTGTGGGGGCAGCCGTCTCTGCACCCAGCTGTAGTCCACCCATCCCCAGGAAAGCAATATCTGCTCCCTACTCCTGAGACAAGTCTCCAGGCACCAGCCCCAAACAGAGGCTTCCTGGACCAACTTCCCTGAGGATGCAGTGGCAGGTATTAACCCGTGGTTCCTGTGTTGTGGTCTTTTCACAGGGATTGACTATCTCCACCCGGACCTGGCCTCCAGCTATGTAAGTAGGAGCGGGCTTTGGTGGGGGGGGGGCAAATGCTTTTCAGTGTTCTGGTGCCCAGGTTATTAAGAATATACTTGAGTACACACACATGCAACCACAGGAACAAACACGTTCATGCACGCACAGAACACATGCACATGTGCACTCTCAGACACAAGTATGTGCACACAGAAGTCTGCATGCAAATTCAGGCATGCACACGTGCACACTGGCACACATGCACAGGAGCACACACACACACACACATACGCACACACAGAGCCTGTTTTGTTAGAGTCACAATTCAGGCCAAAGTCAAAGATCAAGGCTGTGGTTTCATGAGAAGAAGCCAAAGACACTGGAAGTCTGAAAGAACAGAGTGCCAAGAAAATCAGTGCGGAGAGGGACAGAGAAGACAGCTGGCAGGTCCGGGTCAACTCCAGCTGTACTGACGGGGGAAACGAGCTGTGCGGATTCCAGCTGGACGAAACTAAATCCAAAAGCCAAATATTGTATCAACTCACCATGCAAGCATCACTATATGAGAGTTAAGAACTTTACTTTTTTCTGGTTTTGTTGGTTGTGACCACTTCACCTTGACCACACACCTTCTGCATCCTTTGTCCCGAAGGTGTGTGTATCTATGCTGTTGAAAGTGGAGTTTCCGTGTGTTCCCTCACTGGGCTTCAGGAAACAGAGTGGTGATGGTTTTGTGCTTACTGTGTGTCTTATAAATCTGCAAGCCTGAATATTGAGCTGAGAATCATTTTAGTGTTAAAAAAAAAACATGAAATGAATCATTTTCCCAGTTCAATCACTACAGCCCCCAAGAGAAATGACAGCCATTGAACCCTATCTATGTTCCAGGCATAACAATCTGATCTCAGAAAGAAGACAGTAACACCCTGCTTTGGAGTTGCACAGCTGGCCCCACTAGCCTCTTTCTTCTCCCTGGTCCCTGTGACTGCCTGTCCCCTTGGTTGTCTACCCCACTGCCCACATGTGTAGAGCTGTCAGCTTGCTTGGCTGTCCATGCCTCCTGCTGCTCATGGCCCCTCTAGTGCTCTCCCTTGTTCTGCAGCCTCCCCAATCAGAGGGTAGGGCTCTGAGATGTCTGTGGAGGGGAGGTTGAGAAGTGAATGTGTTGCACTTTCTGTAAGGCTCTACTGTCCCACAGAGGCAGGGAAGGGACACAGAGCTGCAGAGCAGACAGGCTATCCTGGGAGGGAGGGCCGCTCTGCGTGCACAGAGCACTGGTGCTTCCCGAGGTTGCCACAAACCCTGGACCTGGCACCTCCTGAAGCAGCCACACAAGGGTCTGCTGCTTCCTGAATGAGTGCTGTTCCAAGGTGGAGTGGCTTCCCTCCTGCGCCTACAGTCCAGTCTCGGAGGGCCGAGGACACTGTGAGTGACCTCCATGCTTGCCTGGGGGTTCCTGGTCATCTGCTCCTGATGCCAGTTGTCAGAATAAAAAGAGATCCTAGCCAGACACAGTGCATGTGCCTGCAACCCCAGAACTCTGGGAGCCTGAGGCAAGGGATCACAAATTGGAGCCCAGCATAGGCAATTTACCAATTTAGGGAGAGACCCTGCCTCATAAATAAAAAATAAAAAAGGCTGGTAAAGTAGCTCAGCACAAAGGCCCTGGGTTCAATCCCCAGTCCTGCAAATTTGAGAGGCAGCAGGGTGGGGCAGGCTAATTCACCTAGAAGAAAATCTTCCAGGTGCTGCAGGTGCATCACTAGTGACAGTGAGATCCACTGGACAAAACCCTCTCCTGACACTGGGAATTGAGGTGGCCTCACAGCTGGCTCCGCGCAAAGCCACAATGTCAGAAGCACACCAGGATGGGCTCTGAGCATTCAGCTCTTCTTCCTTTATTTCTTTTCCAAAAACATTTTCCCTAATTAAAAAACAAGTACATGCTCTCAGTGGAAATTTTGGAAAAGCATAAAGGGAAATAAAAACTAGCCATAATACTACCATTCTTAGTATTCTGGACTTCTACTTCTCGGTGTATATTTTTAATGAAATTTGACTCATTGCATGTAGTGTTCACTTATCTGCTTGATATGTCAGGAATGTTTTTATACTATTAAATATTCTCCCAAGCATGATTTTAAAGGCTCTATAGCATTACCTCATGCCATAATTTATTTAAACAGTCCAATCCCCAATTTCTGGATACTTGGGTGTTTCCAGTGGCGCTTGCCCTGCTGGGGGCCGGAGGAAGGCTATGACATTGGTATGGGGTCCCCATGAACTGCTCAGCAGAGCTGAGAGAACTGGAAAAGTACATTTTTAAATGTTTTAAATTCTCCTGTAGGGGCTGAGAACTTAGCTCAGTGGTAGCATGCTTGTCTAGCAAGCTGGAAGCCCTAGGTTCGTCTTCAGCACCAAAAAATAAAAACCTAAAAAATAAATTCTTCTGTGGAATGGAGCATTCCATGGGTTCAGTAACCTCTTCCAAGAAAATTCCCTCCAATGGGTGGCAGCTGCAGACAGGGATTCCAGTTCAGCCAGAGGCAGACCCATCTAGTAATGAAGTCAGCAGGCCAGCGGAAGTAATGAGTTCTGCATATCGGAAAATGTTTGAGAGGAGGCTTGCACCCCTGAGTGGAGGTATTGGTGAAGAGACAATGTCAACAATAACCTTAACCCAGATGACATCTAGTAACTCCATAGAAAATGGGACTGCTGTACAAAAATATGCATCTTAATGACTTCCATCCAGAGCAAGATGTGAGCCTTCGACCTGTATCACAATCCTGGAGCCTTCCAAAAGATGCACACTCATTTACACATAGCTGCAGAGATAAAAAACAAATCACCCTCCTGTCTCATTCTTTGGGCCTCAGTGGGAGCCCGGATTCACTGGCTTTCACCAGACACAGTGTCTCCCTCACCCAACTTTATCTTCTTTACTTTTAATTAGAAATTTGACCCTATCTTTAACAGAATGAGAACAGCAAGGAGAGTAGGCCAGAGCAATGAAGCCAGGAGAGAATGCCAGGCTGGGAAATGGTGGGAGCAAAGGACCCATGGGTAGTGTCACACCTGCTTAAGTGATGTAATCACTTGACCATGGGGAGTCACAGAGGGCCCTTCCAGGGAAATGTACCCTGCGGAGGTCCTCAGCAGCAGACCCTGGGTCAAGGAGTTTATTTGGGAAGTGGACCCAGGAAGCAGGGCTAGAGAGGGGAAAGGAACCAGAGAAGGGGAGACAGGCAATAAGTAACATATGGGCAAGCGTGTTACCACTGCAGACAGCTGGAACTGCACACCCCTCGGGAGATCTGGGCCATGGTGTAGAATGCGCATGTCTGGCGTGATGTGCCTGGGAGGCTAGGGAATCTGTACTTCAACTCCATCGGACCCTGGGGGAGCCCTGGTCCCAGGGGATGCTCACAGACAGCCCTTCTTCCTCCACCCTCACTCAGGGACAGCCCTGGTCAAAGCCATGGGCACAGGGAGTTAGAGCTCACTGAGGAAGGGAGGGCATCAGGGATGTGAGGTGTGTAGCAACATCTGCCCTGGACAGGATGCCTCGGGAATCTCTTGAAGGATTAAATATGCAGAAGCTTTCTGTGTTGGTGAGAAAAGAAAAGAAAGACTCCTTCTCAATGAAAAATTAAGATTCCACCCAAGGTTCTTCAGAAAAATTTCTTCATAATCAAACCAGGCAAAATATTCCCCAAAACAGAATTATTTTCAAAGCTTGGTAACTTTGTATGCTAAAAGAGAGGGATCAGAGTGTGCCTGTAGATCAGTGTTCTTTCCTTTAAACTGAGAATTAAAATGCTTTGCAAAGTGTAAATCAATATATAAATGTACGTCATTAGTGTTAACATAACTCAACAAATCTGAGTTAAACCTGTTAAGCATTAAGAGCAAAGGATAATAACCACCTGTATTATTATTATTCTATTGTTCTACGACTAAATTTAACCTGAGGGACTCAGTCCCACTAGTAAATGCTCACCATTCCAAATAATTAAAATTTTCCCTTTTCCACCTCCATAATAGCATGAAATGAGTGTTAATCAACAAACTATTTTAGACCAAGTCAAAATCAGATCCTCCTTCACTCATCTTCCCTTTACAAACATACTGGATAATCCTGCATTTCAGGACACTGCTCTGTTAGACCGGCAGCATCCATGGCCTGGAGGGAAGAGGGGGCTACAGATACGTGATAAGATTCACACACATACAGTGCCACACAGGTTGGGAAGGACACGGGTGTGGGACACGTCTGCAGGTGAAGCAGGGCAGTGGGGAAGGTGCATCTCCTTGCTGCATGACTCCAAGGCCAGTGCTGACTGCAGGGTGGCTCATGGCCAAGCGTGGGGTCCCTGGGCAGAGCCTGTGGAATGGAGGGCTCGTCTTCAAGTGCTCAGGGGTGTGACTATGCCTTCTCCAGCTCTCTCCAAGGGCTTCCTTTGCTAAGTCCACAGAGGTGAAGGAATGGCTGTTGGGCCTGTGAAACCCAAGGGGACCTTCTTCTCAGCGTCCGGGTGTTTCCCAAGGTGGGCTGCAAGATCAGGACTTGAAAACAGATGCAGTCAGCTCTCTCACACCCATGTGTTTGGACTGAACGTGCACAGAGATCTCTTTCTTTTTTTATTTTAAAGATAAAAGAACCAAAACCTACTAACAAACCCATAGACATAAATAAAGCAACGTAAAAACAACAGAAGCAATACAAAATTTCAGACAAGGTGATAGGAAATTAACAATGATTGTTGTATTACATATTGGTATCTTCAAATTGGTTACTCAGATAAACAAATATAGGCATGTAAGATTGATCAAACAATTAAACATTGACTGTTCCTTTCAATAATACAATAGAAATTAGTACAGTTAGCTATCTTGTAGATGGATAGATAGATAGACAGATAGATAGATAGGTATTCATATTTTTTCCTTTCTTTTCTCTTTTCCATCATCCAGTTGTTCTTTCCTTCTGAGCAATTTCTTTCCCTTTCACAGTATCTATTGCACCTTTCAGATTT